GGCTGTGTCTGTGCTGTGCCACCAGGTACTGGCACTGCCTTATCCTTCCAGGATGCTTCTCTTTCTCAGCTATGTCATCTATGTGTTGAACTTCCTGCCTTCCTGGTTTCTGTCTTCTGCCCATGCACCCTGGAAGAAGGATCCCTGGTCTGCCAGCCCAGCGCCTGTCCTCCTATGTGGCTAGAGCAAATGCTCCATAAACACTCACTGCGGAAGGAAAAGAGAGCATGAAGGGTCCAGGGAGTGGTGCAGAGGAGACCACTGTGCCCTTTCAGAGTACAGGCATTTGTCCTGGGGGCACATGTGACTGTTTTCTAGCCTATGATGGTGGCAGAATCTTTACCTAAGATTATAGGGTGCCAGGCATCTGAGGCGAATCCCTGACCTGGTAGGAAAAGCTCACAGGAAACCCAGGCAAGAAGAGTAGAAAAGGGGAAGACATTCCCAGCAGTGGGAACATGACAGGACACAGGTATGGGCCTAGGAAGCCTGGGAATGCCCAGAGAGCCTGGGGATACCCAGGGCCCACTGCTGAGCTCTCTTGGAGGTGGCACGGTCAGTCCTGGGTAGGGCCTGGGAGCTCCTCTTGGCCTTTGCTGTGCTGTGTGCTCTCCCTAGAACGGGTCCTTTGTGTCGGTTCTGGGTTCATGTTGTGAGAGGCCTCTTGTCAGACCATGCTGGGTGATGACTGAGGGCTGTAGGAGACGGTGGAAGGAAGGTGGAGAGGTCAGCATAGGGAAGAAGGGGTGTGGGTGGGGCTGCCTCTGAGCGGGCAGTGGAGGGTGGTGAGTGTGTCTGAGGAGGGGGCAGAGTTCACATCCTAGCTCTGGGAAGTCCTAGATTTTGTCCCATCACGTACACAAAAAAGTCTTTGGCCTCCTGACCCTAGTTTGTTGGTCTGTACCATTTGTCTACCATGCATGTGTGGAGAGTAGGAACTGAAGGAATATGTAATTTAGGCACTCCGAAATGGGGCTGACACTCAGTGGCTCCTCTCTCCCAGAATGCCTGCACAGAGCTGGTGCTCACACACCTGAGAGCTTGGTAGAACTGTCCCTTAACAGGAGTAGGTGGCCTGAAAGGCTGTGAGTCCCCATCACTGGTGGTGTTCTTGCCTAAACTGACTGATGATTATAACAACAGCTGCTTCCATGAATGTTCCACTGGTTACCACATACTGTCCTAAGTGGTCTCTGTACTTTTCCCACCCTACCAAGTAGGTGCTAATCTTTCCCCATCTTACCAGTGTAAGAAGGGGAAGCTGAGACCAAGTGCAGGTAGTACATCCTCCAAGACAGGTTAGGAAGGGGATAGAGCTGGTCTGTCTGCAGGAGAACGTGATCACCGAAACTTTGTCTTTGAGGAATGGGTAGACCAAAACCTTTGAGGGCCTTCACCTGGTCAGCTTCTTGAGTACATTCATGGCTGTGCTAGGAGAAGCCTGGAGGGGCTGCCTTGGGCACAAAGGAAGGGTACCTTTAATGGGCACAGCACTGGCTCTAACAAGACAGGTGGGCAGGCGTCTCCAGGGAGCAGAGGGGAGGGCAGTCAGCCTCGCAGCAGTGTCTCAGCATCCTTTGAGGTGGGCAGGAGTACTGCCCAAGTGGCTGTCTGATTTCAGGTCAGGCTTGCTCTTTTCCATTCTGTTTCCTCACCTGTAAGATGGCTTCGACATCTTTTCTAGTTTAAGACAGTCTCTGTTCTCTCTGTGGTGGCATGACACCTTGCAAAGGAGCACCTATACATTCTTCCTCAACTGCCCAGGCCTCGTGTTGCATCCTAAAGCCGGTTTCCAGGCAGTTACCTTGTTTTATTTTTTAAATAGGATATATATGTATGTATGCATTTAATTTTTAGTTAAATTTTTTATTAGTAGTACATATTTGCAGGACATACATTTTACAGTTATGTTGGAGAGTGGGTACATGTACATAATACAGCTTGTTTCTTTTTTTTCCCTTTCCTATTCCTTCCCCGCTCTCTCCTCCTCTAATTTTCCTTTCCCCCTTTTCATTCTTGTTGATATTATTAAACTTAGCTCAGGTCTATGGCATATACTGTTTACATTCATTGCAGTTATTAGGATCCTGTATTAGGTCTTATCTTTGTTCTACTTCTTTCCCCATCCACTCCCTCTCAGCCTTCACCCTTGGTCCCTTGGGCCCCTTCCTATTGGCAAGAGATCATCTAAGAATCAGTGTTTTGTACACTTCACTGCTTCTCCCCAAAACTTTGCCTAAAGCATTTAGTTTTTTTTCCTGTAATTTTGGTGGCTAATCTTGGGTGGATTGTTCTTTCTCCTATGATGGGTTATTTTTGTTGATTTGTGCCTTCTTGTACTTTACTGATACCTGGTTAGTACTTCTCTTTAATTCTTGGTTTTCATTTCTGTCCTCACATTCCTGTAAGTATCTCTTTTGACACCCACATTTTGTTGAAACCATCCCAACCTATGGTAATTAATCCTTTGATATCATTAAAACCTTACCTTCTAGGAACCAGCTCTCTTAATAATCCAGTCATTTCCCCAACTGTCCATCTTTTCTCTTTAATTAATTAATTTTTCATTAGTACATGTTTGTAGTACACAATGATTACATTTGTCATGGGGAGTTGGTACATGTGTGCAACACATCTTAATTCTGTTTTGACCTCCTACTCCTTCCAACTCTTGGTCCCCTTCCCATATGCAAAATCTCTGTTTTCATCTCTTTTTTAATCCCCTTTCCTTCCCCTCTCTTCCCTCCCTCCATCTCTTATTTCTCCCTCTCATTTGAAAAAGATCTCCCTACTTCCTGTTATCTATCTTTTAGTTTTCTCTTTATTCATATTTTGGGGGGTTGTCTATCCTTTCCCAGATGATGCTGAAATAATGTGATACTAACAGTTTGTAAAACATCTGGGATTGTGTAAGCTGGTGCAGTTGGTGATGCTAAGAGACAGCCAGTACTCACTGAGCACTGTCACATGCCACATCTACCTACTAACTGATCACCTCAGTCACATGTATCTGTCTTCTTTGCTTTCAAAGAGGACAACAGTAACTCTTTCACTAGCTAATGTGAGGATTAAGGTAACGTATACAAGTCTGGCACGTATGAGGAGTTTGGTAAGTAACTAAGTAAATAAGTGGATGTAATGTGGTTTTGGAGTACCTTTCAGGGCCAAGATCCCCTGGATCTGTTCCTTTTTGTTAGCACCCCTTTTCAAGGAAGCAAAGAGAAATGAGCATTGTCTGCTAGATGTGTGCTACCCAGGTCTTGGCCACTTGATTGAGCTCACCTCTGGCCAGGAAACGATGGACTCTTTTGTATTCACAGCATAGGCGGTTTGAGTTCTTGCAGTTAACGAGGCCCACACATTTTTCTTTTACATGGACCTCATTCTAGCTAATGTCTTCCACTGAATTCCTATCAGGTTAATTTTTGGTTTTAGAGACCAAGACTTTATATTTTAACTCTGCTATTAAGTAGTAGCTTCATGGAGGAAGTAAATGTAATGATTTTGGAATCATTTGGACCTCAAATTCAAGAACTTTTCCCTAGTTTGTGACTGTGGACAAATTATTTAATTTCTCTAAGCCTTACTTTCTTTATTCAGATAGAGATTTAGCATTAAAGACTTGGTTCCTACAGGGCAGAAGTAGGAACAGCAACTAGTTGCTCCTTCCTTGAGCCTGAAGGGACAGCGAGAGGAGAGCAGTAGTGTAAAGGAGGATAGTAGCATAGCCAGAAAGCTGGGCTTTTCTAGCCAGAACTGAGAACAGTGCGAGGCCTTCTTGGGAGAGGAGCTGTTTTAATAGCATTTGGCTCCCCCTGTTGGTGGCTAAAGACCAACATGTGACACTGGACGGAAGTACTGATGGCTGTTAATTAGTTACAAGCACTCACAAGCCAGGTGAGGTGCAGGGCCATGGGAACAAGCCATGAATATGCCATGGCTGTGGACGGGCCATGAATAACTGACCCAGGGCTAGTCAGTGGGTGTAACGTGCCGTTCCCATGGGTTCTTCATAGTCTTTCTGAGTCTTGTAGGAAACAGGGACCCATTGCTCAGGAATGTGCAGGGATTGTACGTGGCCTGTGAGCTGTGTGGTGGATGCACTGATGGGAACAATTGGGAGGGAAATGGGTGGGGCTGTCTGGGGGACCCAGTGCCACCAGCAACGAGGCAACACAAGTGTACCCTATTGTCCACCAAGATGGGATGTCTACACAGCCTGTAGTGCCTTTGTTACCACCTGTGCTGTGTATGAGGGAGGCCCTGGTTGGAAGGAACCATTGCTGTCCAGAGCATTGCAGTCAGTCTGTGCCCAAAGGACATCCAACCCAAGGCCCTTTCCCAGTAGCGCTCAAGACCATGAAGACAGGTACATTTTCAACGAAGCCCGGGGAAGCTTCCCTCCTCACTGCACATAATTCTTTATCTGTAGAGGCTCTGTCTTCTTGAATATGCTTTTCCCCACTGGACTTGGATCTGTTTCTTTTAAGGTGATATACTAGAGAAAATATTCACTATGGAGAAATTTAGTTTATACGACCAAAGAAAAGTGTGGAATTTTATTTTTTTGGTTGTTTTGAGACGAGGTCTTCTTGCTATGTAGCTCAGGCTGGCCTAGAACTTGCGGTGAACTGCCTGCCTCAGCTTCCTGAGTGCTAGGATTACAGGCATGTGTCACCATGCCTGATTAAATTTATCAGTGAGAATGACCTGCTTGTTAGGAGTAAGGCAACTCTGCTTGAAGCTCAGTTCCTTTAACAATGATGGCTCCTCTTCTGCTTTATGTCTCATCTGTAAGCAGGGGCAAGAACCTTGCAACAGCTCTTGGTTCTGGAACACTGATCATGATTCTGGAACATTCTGGTACTTTGATCTATTGCATTGCAAGTGCTTTTTATTGTTTTGGCTTTGAGACTACCTTCATGTCTTCTAGGGGGGATGGTAGGTCCCATGTTACCTCCAGTTCATCATCTTTACTGCTGTTATTATTATTGTTGTAGAAAAGTTGTATGGTGACTTCTTGAGCTGGAAGCTGGAAGAAACCCTGGCCCAGTTCCCTCTGCAGCCTGGGAAGGTGGCCACTCTGGCCATCAGCATCAAAGCAAAGCTGGACTTCTCCTGCCAGGAGAACCTCCTGCAGGACCTCAGTGACGGTGAGTGCCTCCTAATTTCAATTAGCGCATCCCGATCCCAGCCATCAGCACTGCTTAGTGCCTGCTGTGCAGTCTGACTTGGGAGTAGGTCATTAGAGCTGTCTGAAACTTCTCTTGGGCACATTGTTAACAGAGTGAGTTACAGTATGTGTCTGAAAGTAATAATAGTACATGTTAGCTGAATGATTTCTTAATTTTCAGTCTTTATTGTTTTGTGCTCATTTGCCAGGAGGTCATCCTAAATGAATGAAATGCAGGAATTGCTGCATTTTTTTTTTTTTTTTTTCCAGTAGAACTGCTGTGATCCCATAGACATCTAATTGGCCATGACAATAAAGTGCTCCCTCTGAGTTTGGTGATTTCTATAAGGAGAAGGAGTCTAGGGAAATGGGAGTTTGTATTAGCTGTGATGTGAGGGCTAGGTGATTGGAGATAAGGCTTCACAGACCACTTATGCCAGGTAATGAAGTGTGATTCATATGTTCACTTGCAGGCATCATGGGGTATATTGGTCAGTTCAGGCTGCTGTAACAAAATACCAGGGAGTGCCTGGCTTAAACAACAGAAATTAATACTTCACAGCTCAGGGAACCACAGGTCTGAGATCAGTGTGGTGGATTTTTGATGGAGTGTTCTTCCTGGCTGGCACATGGCCATCTTCTGGCCCGGACTTCATGTGGCACAGAGAGATCATCTCTCTGTTGTTCATTTGTTTTCCTAAAATGGCCCGAGACCACTGCACCCATACCCTGGCTTTAGGACTTTATTTACCCATTAACAGCTCCTCACAGACCCTGTATTGCTAGGTCTTCAATATATGAATTTTGGAGGGAGGCACAGATGTTCAATCCATAATGGCTATTGCTGGAGACAGACAGTGGATTCTGTCTGTAGAATTTACCAGCTAGGTAACTTCAGGTGACTGACTTAACTTTGTGCATTAATCTCCTAATCTACAAAATGATAATAAACCCTAGTTCTAGGGTGTTGTGAGGATTTGCACAGCACCTGGAACAGAGCCAGGATTCATCATGAATAAGTGGTTGGAATGCCTGAGACTAGGGGATGTAACTTAGATGCAGGTCTTTTATCTGGCAGTGCCCTGTTCAGCCTCTGGGAGTGGAGGCTAGATTTTGGGAGTGGAGGCTAGAGCCTGGTTCAGGACGTGTTGTGGGTGAAGTTATAAGAGTGGGCCCACAGCTCAGGGTACAGCGGGCACAGTGGCTCAAAGCCCAGGTGTCTGTGTGTCTTGTCTGTGTGTCTCTCTCTCTGGGAATGGGATTCTGTTTCCTGGCCAGCCTGTGCCAGCTTTTCTGCATGCTCAGGAAATGAAATGATGCCATCATGTTGAATGCTAGCAACTGTAACATGAGTTATGGGTTTTGTTCTCCTGTGACAGGAAGTTACCTTCCACATTATTCCCTTCTCTGAGGAGTTTGTGATCTTGTCCCAAAAGTGTGCCCAGCTTGTTTCTCCCAGGTCCTTTGCACTTCCTCTTCCCTCACCCATATTACTCTGCCCCACTTCTCTGCATGCTCTGTACCTGCTTCTACAGGTGTCAATTCAACTGCCTCTTTGTAGCAAGGCTCCCCTTGATAGCTTAGTGAAATCAGCCCCTTCCCTGTCCCTCTTGGTCTTATTCCTCATCTTAACCTCCAGCACTCTTCCCTGGAAGTTTTTCTTTGCTTTGTTTTCCTGCCTGCCTCCATGCTTAGAATAGGGAATGAGGATTCTGTCTTGTTCAGTGTTGTGTTGCAGTGTGGGATGAAGGACTTCGGTGTTTCTAGTATGGATCGTGAATGAGGGCCTCTTGCTCCACTCCTCCCCTTAATGGGGGGATCCAAGTTGTATTCCTGCACATTCTTGTAAACATTTTCCCCCAGAAGACCTCGTTAGGGAGTTGTTTTTGAAATTCTCAACTCCTTGGGCAGAGTGTACAGAAGTGAATTGTGTTAATGTGTTTAGATTAATGGTTATATTAAGATCCTACATGGTACTCCATCTTAGGCAGCTTGAGGCTGCTATAACAAAATACCATAGCCTGGGAGGCTTGAACAGCAGACCTTGATTTCTCATAGTCCTGAACCTTCAGAAGCCCAAGATTAAGGTCCTGGCAGATTTGATTCTTAGTGGGGGCCTTCTTCCTAGCTTGTAGAGGACTGGCCTCTCACTGTGTCCTGACAAAGTGGAGACATGGAACTCTGCTATCTACCTCTTCTTACAAGGCAAGAAACTCATCAGGGGGCACCCTAATGACCTCTACCTAGTCTCTGCCCCAAGCCCCATGTCCTAAAGCCATCACACTGGCGTTAAGGCTTTCAGCATTCAAATTCAGCCCATAAGACCCTTCATAAAATGTACTCTCCAGCTCTCTACAGTATTTAAATAACTATCATAGTTTCCTCATATCATGTGAGTACTTAATAAAACATTCTTTAAAAATTATTAGCAAAGATAGGAAGACAAGTTTAGTGTTGGACATGTTAGGAATTGAAAATGTCATGTGGATTTAACATTATACCAGGACTTAAAAGAAGTCAAATAAGATGGATTTTTTTTTTCTTCAGTTTGTAGTGTGCTTTGTCCACTGAGCTACGTTTTTCTATCAGCAGACAGAGAGTTACCTAGGTTCTGACTTCTTTTTCCCAGGAAGGGAGTTTGGCAGAATAAGTGAAGCACAGTCCTGGGAACCTGTCCAGACACTTGTCTCAAGAATGCTTGATTGGATATTATCCCAGGGGCTATGTCTTGGCAAATAAACCTCCAGCTGAGAGTATTTGCATGTGAGAAGCTAGGGACTGGTGTCTGGGGCCCTACTTCTGACCACTGGCTTTGTGTTATTCCTGAAGAGAAACCATGGAAGGCTTTGAGGTGGAAACCTTAACTTTCTGTGTTGTGGTGGCTATTTATGTGCTTAATGCAGACCTGTTTTGTTAGATTATTATGGTTCTGTCTTTGTTACAGAGGGGATGGGACACTCTCTTTACCCTTCTAAGATGAGAGCAGAATTGCAATTTGGAATTTGTAGTCTGGGAATACTTTCTACCTTTTAAAGTAAAAACCAAACTAGAACTGGAATTATGGTTACCAAGTGGTTTGTAAAGCAACGTTGGCCTAATTTCTGGTTAGTTAGGGATAGCACATATGTGGAACAGATCACTGTTATTAATTAGACACCCCTTTTAGTGATAATGGTTAATAGAAGCACTGTCTAGTATTTGTATAGCATGTTATGAAATGAGACAGAGAATCTCAATGGGCAAGTTTTATAGAGGAAAAAAGTGGGCACAAGGAGCCTTGCAGAGTTGGTCTATGGATGGTGAAGTTCAGTATGAGAAACTGTGGACTCTTCATTAGGCCCTGACTTGCAGACAGCTGTGAATCAGTGGCAGAGGCTCATTTGTGGCTCTTGGAGCTGGGCTGTGACCTTCCTGTAGCTTTCAGTCTTACAGTCTCAGAAACACTGACTGAGCAGGACCCAATTTATTTTTCAGGCATGAACTCACATTAACTATGGTTGCTGAAATTAGATGCCACTTTTTAACTTTATAGCAATAAATATGGCTGTTGCACAAACTAGGATACTGATTTCAATGTGGGCCATGGACAGATGGAGAGAATTAATATTTATTAAGCACTGTCAGATATTGTGTATAAAGATGGGGCTTGGCTACTTTATTTGCATTATTTCTATTTAATCTTCCAAACAGTTCTATAAAGAAAATGTTATTATTATAGTTCCCATTGTATAAAAATATGAGAGAAGACTGTTCTAGTTAAAGAAGATTGAAGAAATATAGCAATCAAATCCCATACATGGTCTTTAATTATATCCTGGGTTAAAAAAATGAAAGACATTTTTTTGGACAACCTGGGAAATTAAATATGTATTGTATATTAGGTAGTGTTATTGTATCAATGAATATATTGAGAATGATAATGATATTGAAATTGTAGTGAAATATTTTTGTTTTTAGGAAATAAATTCAGAGGTACTTAAGGGTGAAAGATAATTATGCCTGTATTTTCTTTGATATGGTTTACGAATAAAATGTGAATGTAGGAGAGGAATAAATGTTAGTGTGAATATAGAGAGAAATAAATTATTAAAAGTTAGTGGTTTTAGATAAAGGGTATGGATATTCTCTTATATGGAGGAGGAAAAGATGCCTTTGTAGCTCACTGCTTTGACCTATTATGTTTTGTTTTTCTAAATGAATTCTTAGGAAGCAAATGATTTCTCATATCTTCTAATTCTTGGGCAATATCTAGGTTTCTCTAGGGTAAGAGAAGTCAACAGGTTCTGACTTCTGACTAGAAAATGGCATATTTTTACCTAGAAAATGGCATATTTTTCTATGACACCATACCAAGAAATCTCTAATTTCTTGGGACTTTTTTTTTGAATTTTATGTTTAAGATTAGAAATCTTGGAAGATGGTGATAAACTATTTTAGGTTTTGGATATTTTTAAATTATTCAATAAAATAGATTGAGCAGTTGCAATGAGAAAATCAAACACCCTTAGGCAAAATATGCAGTAAAGTAAGATACTACAGTATCCTTATGAGCCCCAAAATATAAGCAGATACAGACAAACCACTGCTTGCCACATAGACTAACATTATGTAGGAAGAAACTGGAAGCAATTAATTGATATCGGCAGACCCAAGAATCCAGGGGGTATTTACTGGACAGTTCAGTGGAGCAAGTTGAGAACAGCACCAGAGGTCTGCAACAGAGTCTTGCATGTTACAATAGCAGATGCCTGCAAAGAATCCTTCTAGAATAAATTCACTACCCAGAAATACAAAATGAAGAATGTAGGTTTATCAGTCATAAAAGCTAACCAGAATAATTGCTTCTAAAAGTCCATGTAAAGACGGTCGATAGAAAAGGATCAAGGACCAATTCCACATAAAGTTATAACGTCAACATAGCAAGCAGAACAACACAACAACACACTCCAAAAGTATGCCAGGGAAACATGCTCACAGCTG